ACGACTGATACGGGACTTGAGGCTGTGGCTCGGAAGAAAATTTGGTGATGTAAATTTCTATGTCATCCAGCTCTTGACGAGCCACGGGTACTTCCGACGGTACATTTACAATATGAACAAAGTACGAACACCCGACTTTAAGTACTGTGGACACGAAAAAGACGACGCGGAACACATGTTTTTCGCGTGTGACCGCTGGACAAGACTCAGACAGGAACTGGAAGAAACGGTCGGCAGTATCACCCCGATAACATTATGACCGTACAAAGCACTGGAAAAGCAGAGAAAAGCAGTGGAATACTGGAGAAGCAGTAAACAAAAAAAAATTTGAGTCTTGAATCAGTGAAACAAAAGTTTAAGAAAGTAAGTTCTATAAGGTAGTTGCGACGTTGGGCTCATGCTTTGAATAAAGGAGGGACATATAGAGAGAAAATTTCTAGAATATGTCAATTTACTTTGGAAAATTTTAAAGCTGCTATTGAAGTGGGATTGGTCGTCCATGATTCAGACTTACGTAAATGGGCATTACAAGCTCAAAAAAAGATAGGCTATGAAGATTTAAAGCTTTGAATCACTGGCTTAATCATTTGAAGGAAACACACAGAATAGTTTCAAGAAAAATTAATAAATTCATAACCAGGAAAACTTTAGAAAGTGCCACAGAGTTAGAAAAATATGCAAATGAATTTGTAACTGATGTTAAATAATGTGCAGAAGAGGTAGGAATGGAAAATATATTCAACTGTGATCAAAGTGGATTCCAGGTAGAGATACATTCTGGTAGAACATTAGCTGTTGAAGGAGAAAAACATGTGCAGGGTGTTGTACAATCAGTTTTCTCTACAACACATAGTTATACAATACAACCTCTAATATCAGGTAATAGAGAATTACTTTCACTACTTTTCCTAGTTATAAAAGAAAAAAGTGGCCAATTTGGACCAGTTGTTGAGTCTAACTTATTTCGACCTAAAAATGTACATATCGAAGCATCAAAATCTGGAAAATTGACTTCAGGTATTTATCAATATTTCTTTACCGAAAGTAAAATTTTTACGAGAATACCCGCAAACTATACAACAAGATTAAAAAACATAATTTTTTTCAGTCATTTTAAAATTTGTTTACGAAAGATATATTTTCCGAAAGTTGGTCCTATAAGTATATTATTATTAGATACTTGGAGTGGGCATTGTCCTAAAATAGTAGAAGTTACACCTGTTAATAAAGAAGTAAATGGAATGGAAATGCATCAACTCAGAGGGGTATCAGCTCACTGAGTTGAAGCGTGTGAGTTGAGGTGTGTGCATGTTCACCTCACCCCCCCCCCTGCTGATCGGCCCGTTCGCTGTCGACTCACCCCCCCCCCCCCTACTGAGTTATACCAGTGCGTTCTACGCACTCCCCCTCCCCTACTGAGTTGATCTGATGTGGTGTATACCGGTGCGTTCTACGCACTCCCCCTCCCCTACTGAGTTGATCTGATGTGGCTTGATCTGATGTGGCGTGCGTTCTCTGCATTTCCCCCTCTCCCACTGATTTGATTCCTATGCACTGCGCGCGCGTTCTGTGTTACGCGTTTTGATTGTTTTATGTGTGTGTGTGTGTGTGTCTGTACGCGCGCTCGCGCGCGTGTTAAAAATTTTTAGATTTAACTGAAAAAAAAACGGACGGATCGGGGGATCGAACGCGCGTCCTCCGGATCCGCAGGCCGATGCTCTACCGCTAGAGCTACAGCCACTGTTACCACGGGCAATACCGTATTGTGTATACTGGCTACACACGCGATTGATATGTGGGGGCGGCGGCGCCGGCGGCTGCTGCTGCTGCTGCTGCTGCTGATGCTGCTGCTGGGGAGGGCCCAAGCGCTAATACAATAAATTTTAATAAATATTATAAATAGATATTTATTATATAGATATATTATCAATGTGTGTGTGTGTGTGTGTGTGTCTGATCGCTGAAATAAGAAAAGATATATTATTAATAATTATTTATAAGAAAAGACATTATTATTAATAATTATTTATTATATAACAAAATATAAAAAATCTACAAAAAAATACAAAAAATGTATAAAAATTTATAAAAAAAACTGACGCTTAGTTATCGCCATCATCATTATCATCGTCGTCGTCGTCGTCGTCGTCGTCGTCATCGTCGTCGTCGTCGTCGTCGTCAGCGGTGAAAAATTTTGCAATTTTATACCGCGGGGCGCCGTCGACGGTTTCGTCCGTGACGCGCAGGCGCTTTTTCCCCGTGATGCGGAGACTCTGCAAGAGCGCCGTTGTGGGTAATTCCGCGGGCGATCGAGAAGGCTGCCTACTCAACGGAGCTGGCGACAGCGACCGAGAAGGCTGGCGCACAGCGGGGGAATCTTCGGGACTGCACGACCTCGATGCGAATAATCTTCGCACCACCTGTCTGACCGGCCCGTTCCGATCGACGTGCCGCCTGCTGCCGCGCTGCGGTGGTGATTCCACCCACTGCGGCTGCCGACTGCAGCGACTAGCGGCGCAGTGTGCGCACTCCCAGCCATCGCATACTGGCATGGTGTTGTTGTGATCGCCGACCTGCAACAAAAAAATGAAAAAAAACTTAGAACATATAACTGCCGATTAAAAAAAAGAAAAGAGAAAAAAAGAATCATACCTGTTCTCGTTGGCGGCAGGACGTCTCTTGTATCTCTGGTGGTGAAACTAAGTTCACCAAGAGCGGCTGTTGTGGCGTTGTGATGTCGATGATCACGGGTGCTCCTCGAGGCGTCACCAGGTCGACGCATGTCACGCGTCGTGATGGTGGTGGTGGTAGTGGTGGTGGTCGACGCGAGACAATCACCTCGCAGACCATCTCCACGTCGTCGTCGTCATCGTCATCAGACCTGCAAAAAAAAAAAAAAGATTCTTTATTTTGAAAAAAATCATTTCATATATCTATCTGTATAATAAATATTCAACTTACACATTCACCGTTGAAGACGATCGGGAGCATGGAGACGGTGGCGGTAATTCGAGTGGCGCTGTCCGATGCCTGCTGTAATCGGAAACACTTGTATTTATATTATGCCGATAACGCGACTACGACGACGAAAACCGGACATCGTAAAATAAGAAATTTTAAGTACGTGAGAGAAAAGAATGTTAAATTTAAAATTGGAGTATATACTCTCTCTATCTCATATACACACATACATACATATTATATAACGAATAATACTTTTACATTAATAAATTGATAAATTATCTATATAAAATTTTATCAATTTATTAATACAATATTATTAGATATATAATTGTGTTATTAGTATAATGGTATTAATTATAAAAAAACAGAATGAGAGAGAGAGGGTAAAAGAGAATAAAAAAAAAAATGTACTTACAATATTGAAGGTGGAGGTGTCAGCGGCATCCGAATGGTTGCCGCTTCGTGGATGTCGTCGTCGTCGTTCCTCCTCCTCGGCGAAGGTGTTCGCGGCTGCTCGACGACGACTTCGTCCACCGCTGCTTCTTGTACCGGTAAATCAATCAATCCGAAGACTTCATCTTCGGAAAGATCTATGTCCTCACCCAACGCCTCGATTGCTTCATTCAGTGCGTCTTGCCACGACGCATCGTCCAACGAAAACAAATTTTCCAACCGTTCATCACTCATTTTACTTCACTAAACACTTCACTTAACTCCACGACAAAAAAATCACAATGACGTATCGTTGCAAGGCGTTCGAATTTTTATTCATCTTTTGAAACACTAGCCGCGTTTCGGTCATTGGTCGAAGATATGGGAGTAGGGATGCGAGACTACGCGACAGTACTGATTTTGTCGCACGCATAAGACAATCATAATTAGTGGTGGGAGTAGCTAATGAAAATGTGATTAGTGCGGAGAAGAGACGCCAATGTATATTAATATAGGATCGCGATAGCACGTACGCTCTTTATTTCTCACGCAACGGACGAAGAGTAGGTGGTGGCAAGCCGTTGGTAGTGACAAGTTGCAGCGAACGAACAAGCTCACTTGAATCATGCCAATTTACATAATGAAATAATGTTTGTTCCCTAGTTATTTTTTATCAGGTAAAAGACCTATTCCATTAATAAACGACGATTTTCGTTTCCTAGCATCACCGCTCGGAGATAAATTAGGTCCAATATATTTTTTCGATTTGTTCACATGCTTATTTCGATATTATTTAAGCTAGAAACTGCGCGAACTCTGTATGTTTTTTTTGGTACAATATGTATAAGTAAAGGAGTTAGTATTCCTTTGAATTTGAGAGAGAAAGCACACTCTTTATTTATTTCCTATATTTTTTTCCTCTCTAGTACGAGGAGACCTTCATAGTGAAAAGAATAGGGAGCTCTCTCTGTGGCATGAAAAATAATTCAAAAAGAGGAGTGAGAAGGTAATAATCGCTCAAGTAATACACGTGTTTTGCCATTCGGATTTTACTCTGAGATAACAGAAACAGCTTTGCTTTGAAAACTATTCTGACTGCAGTTCAAGGCGCGTGGCTCACTGCTGCCTGCTCAGTATACTTATACTGTCTGTCTCTATCAGCTGGACTTCTCTTCCTTGCTAACCCGCGGTAATATTGTTTGCTTACTCCTTCTCAACTTCTTCCATATCGCTGTCTTGTTTATTTTGACTGGAAATGAATCATAAATGGAATCTTCTTTTCTCAGAAAAAATACATGAATTATTTACTTCCCGAAGTAACTTTCACTGGTTACATAATTAATGAATTGACCAGAAAAATCAAAAACTATATATTTGGTTTATAGATATGAAATATAGTATAAAACAAAAAATGAATCAACTCATATTCATATTTTTTTAATTTGTCATCGGCATTAAAGTCTTGTTTTTGAAGAATTTTTAATTTTGGAAAACTTTTTCGTAGGTGTGATAATCAAACTTGGAAAACAAGTTAATAAATATTCATAATATTACGACTAAGTATCTTTGAATGAATAAATACAAAAGTTATTTACTCTTTTCAGAGCTGTCAAATTTACATCTAAGTTATTTGGTCGAGCATTATCGAGACGTATAAAAGCTACGGTTCTCTACGCTACAGAAACTGGAAAATCACAGATGTATGCTGAAAAACTTAGTCAACTATTTAGTCACGCATTTCACTCGCAGGTACTCTATGTTTAAAAAAGCGATTATTAATAGAATAACATAACATACTATAAGTAGTTTATTAATCTGAAAGACAATTGTCCTCTTCTTTTAATGAATCTATAATGAAAAAATTCGTTTTGTTAGCGATTTTCCCTTCGTCCATTCCCCCTCAATCCCTGCGTTCATGTACTTGTCAGATCGGGCGCATATGTTTGTGCGTGAACGCACCATTTATACTCGAAATTGCTTTGATTTGAAATGCTAATTGGCGATTCCGAGAGTGAGGAACGGTACGAATTACGACGGACTGTGAAAGCGAAAACGTGTGCGGAGAGAGAGATGAAGAGACAGACATAAGAAGGAAGCGAGAGAATGAGTGGCTCAACGCAGGATCTAGTATGCGTACAGTCGTGAAAAGACTAGTACGCAAGATAACTTGTAAAACACCCATATAGAAGTAGCTCTTTGGGAGGACGGAATCCCGTATCATTGCGGACCGCTGAGACATTGTGGTTAGTCTTCGTCTCTTTTGATTAGGTGAGCCAGAAGTAGGTCAACTAGAGGGGCATCAACTCAGAGGGGTATCAGCTCACTGAGTTGAAGCGTGTGAGTTGAGGTGTGTGCATGTTCACCTCACCCCCCCCCCCCCCTGCTGATCGGCCCGTTCGCTGTCGACTCACCCCCCCCCCTACTGAGTTATACCAGTGCGTTCTACGCACTCCCCCTCCCCTACTGAGTTGATCTGATGTGGCTTGATCTGATGTGGCGTGCGTTCTCTGCATTTCCCCCTCTCCCACTGATTTGATTCCTATGCACTGCGCGCGCGTTCTGTGTTACGCGTTTTGATTGTTTTATGTGTGTGTGTGTGTGTGTCTGTACGCGCGCTCGCGCGCGTGTTAAAAATTTTTAGATTTAACTGAAAAAAAACGGACGGATCGGGGGATCGAACGCGCGTCCTCCGGATCCGCAGGCCGATGCTCTACCGCTAGAGCTACAGCCACTGTTACCACGGGCAATACCGTATTGTGTATACTGGCTACACACGCGATTGATATGTGGGGGCGGCGGCGCCGGCGGCTGCTGCTGCTGCTGCTGCTGCTGATGCTGCTGCTGGGGAGGGCCCAAGCGCTAATACAATAAATTTTAATAAATATTATAAATAGATATTTATTATATAGATATATTATCAATGTGTGTATGTGTGTGTGTGTGTCTGATCGCTGAAATAAGAAAAGATATATTATTAATAATTATTTATAAGAAAAGACATTATTATTAATAATTATTTATTATATAACAAAATATAAAAAATCTACAAAAAAATACAAAAAATGTATAAAAATTTATAAAAAAAACTGACGCTTAGTTATCGCCATCATCATTATCATCGTCGTCGTCGTCGTCGTCGTCGTCGTCATCGTCGTCGTCGTCGTCGTCGTCAGCGGTGAAAAATTTTGCAATTTTATACCGCGGGGCGCCGTCGACGGTTTCGTCCGTGACGCGCAGGCGCTTTTTCCCCGTGATGCGGAGACTCTGCAAGAGCGCCGTTGTGGGTAATTCCGCGGGCGATCGAGAAGGCTGCCTACTCAACGGAGCTGGCGACAGCGACCGAGAAGGCTGGCGCACAGCGGGGGAATCTTCGGGACTGCACGACCTCGATGCGAATAATCTTCGCACCACCTGTCTGACCGGCCCGTTCCGATCGACGTGCCGCCTGCTGCCGCGCTGCGGTGGTGATTCCACCCACTGCGGCTGCCGACTGCAGCGACTAGCGGCGCAGTGTGCGCACTCCCAGCCATCGCATACTGGCATGGTGTTGTTGTGATCGCCGACCTGCAACAAAAAAATGAAAAAAAACTTAGAACATATAACTGCCGATTAAAAAAAAGAAAAGAGAAAAAAAGAATCATACCTGTTCTCGTTGGCGGCAGGACGTCTCTTGTATCTCTGGTGGTGAAACTAAGTTCACCAAGAGCGGCTGTTGTGGCGTTGTGATGTCGATGATCACGGGTGCTCCTCGAGGCGTCACCAGGTCGACGCATGTCACGCGTCGTGATGGTGGTGGTGGTAGTGGTGGTGGTCGACGCGAGACAATCACCTCGCAGACCATCTCCACGTCGTCGTCGTCATCGTCATCAGACCTGCAAAAAAAAAAAAAAAGATTCTTTATTTTGAAAAAAATCATTTCATATATCTATCTGTATAATAAATATTCAACTTACACATTCACCGTTGAAGACGATCGGGAGCATGGAGACGGTGGCGGTAATTCGAGTGGCGCTGTCCGATGCCTGCTGTAATCGGAAACACTTGTATTTATATTATGCCGATAACGCGACTACGACGACGAAAACCGGACATCGTAAAATAAGAAATTTTAAGTACGTGAGAGAAAAGAATGTTAAATTTAAAATTGGAGTATATACTCTCTCTATCTCATATACACACATACATACATATTATATAACGAATAATACTTTTACATTAATAAATTGATAAATTATCTATATAAAATTTTATCAATTTATTAATACAATATTATTAGATATATAATTGTGTTATTAGTATAATGGTATTAATTATAAAAAAACAGAATGAGAGAGAGAGGGTAAAAGAGAATAAAAAAAAAAATGTACTTACAATATTGAAGGTGGAGGTGTCAGCGGCATCCGAATGGTTGCCGCTTCGTGGATGTCGTCGTCGTCGTTCCTCCTCCTCGGCGAAGGTGTTCGCGGCTGCTCGACGACGACTTCGTCCACCGCTGCTTCTTGTACCGGTAAATCAATCAATCCGAAGACTTCATCTTCGGAAAGATCTATGTCCTCACCCAACGCCTCGATTGCTTCATTCAGTGCGTCTTGCCACGACGCATCGTCCAACGAAAACAAATTTTCCAACCGTTCATCACTCATTTTACTTCACTAAACACTTCACTTAACTCCACGACAAAAAAATCACAATGACGTATCGTTGCAAGGCGTTCGAATTTTTATTCATCTTTTGAAACACTAGCCGCGTTTCGGTCATTGGTCGAAGATATGGGAGTAGGGATGCGAGACTACGCGACAGTACTGATTTTGTCGCACGCATAAGACAATCATAATTAGTGGTGGGAGTAGCTAATGAAAATGTGATTAGTGCGGAGAAGAGACGCCAATGTATATTAATATAGGATCGCGATAGCACGTACGCTCTTTATTTCTCACGCAACGGACGAAGAGTAGGTGGTGGCAAGCCGTTGGTAGTGACAAGTTGCAACGAACGAACGATCGGCCCTTTTCTGGGCCACTTTTTTTTTTTTCAAGTTGACGAAGCTGTACAATCCCGACAGTTAATCGATATCATGATCAATTTAAAACAGCACTTTTCAGTGCTAAATTTTCAATAAAAAAAAATTTATATTATTTTTCTATAAATCAGCACTTTTAAGTGCTATTCAAACGTATGTGCAAATATATCAGTGCTAAATTTTCAATAAAAATCTTATATTATTTTTTTATAAATCAGCACTTTTGAGTGCTATTCAAACGTATGGTTAAATATAACATAGACTAACTATTTGTTTAATAAAAAAACTTATATAATTTTTTTTAAAAAATCAGTACTTTTAAGTGCTATTCAAACGTATGTGCAAATATATCGTAGCCGCAAAGGTAAGTACTAAAACAATAACAATTTGAAATTACGAATAAATTCAACCTTGTGTTTTTCTTTATTCTTACTCCCCCCCCCCCGCCATTTTCAGCGAAACGAGCAGGTAAGTATAAGGTAAGTATTTTTTTTTTAATTAGTTAAAAAATATACAAAATAAAAATAGTTCGTTTAATTCAGTGTACAAAATAATACTAAAAAAAATGATAATTTTTTTCCTAAATCATAAAATAATATACAGTTAGTATGCACTATCTTTAGAAAGAGCGACAATGACTCACACGGTAGAGCACTGTCGTATAGATGCAAAGGAGGCTAGGTTCGATTCTCCTGTATATCTATTACCGAAAGATATTACGAGAAAAAAATTCGATAAATAATGTTACTAATTATTTATATGTAAATTGTCAACAATTAAATTCAACAAAAAGGATAGGTAATTTCTTCTTAATTAAAAATAATTAAAATATCGTTATTAAAAATAACAACAACAAAAATCAGTGCGTATATGCGACAGTTTTAAATGACGTCACTCGCATAGGCCGTTGAGTCAATTCCCCACAAGTTGTATGCTTTACATACGCATACGCGTGCGCACGTGTATGTATAACTTATAAAAATTAAATGAATTTTTTTTATGCAATGTATGGCATGTATGGAATGAATGGAATGTATGGCACGTATGGCATGTATGGAATTTTTACGCGTACACACGTGTATGTATAACTCATAAAAATTAAATGAATTTTTTTTATACAATGCATGGTATGTATGGAATGAATGGAATGAATGGAATGTATGGCACGTATGGCATGTATGGAATTTTTTAATGCAGGATGGAAGGGGAAATCTCAATCGTTCGTTATAAAAATGAGCTGCATCTCATCAGCAGTCGCATTCGCATCCAGAGTGAACTAGTGTAAAGTGTGAAAGAAGAAAGGTTATACGAACATTCTACAATGAGCTCCAACAAGATTGACTATAGGTAATTATTTGTTTTATTGTTGTTGGATTGGAGCAAATGATTGAGAACACTAAATTTACAAATGTTAAACTAAATAAAGTATAATTTATTACGGTCTATAAAAAGGTACAAAGTAAAGTTAGATTATTATAATGAGAGCTCTATATCCACTGGTGGTTGCTGCTGGAATGCCGAGCTAGTTTGAGCGGCAGTGCAGCAAAGGAAAGGTGGCGTGGTGAGCGCCCGCGCACATGCGCACAGTACTTTCAACACTCCCTCCACTGTACGCATATGCGCGTGAGCACAAGTAGCTCACTCAGACCTATTGGTTTCCGCGTCTGCAAATAAACAAAGACATTCTCGAGCATATTCAGTTATTAATTATATTATCTCTAAGAGCTCT